TTCTTTGACAGGTTAAAACCTGATCCCAGATCAGAGAAGGACGGGACACAGGACAGGACCCCATACCCGCCCGAGTACGTCAGACGGCTTCAGGGACCCCCGGGGCCCCCGTGAGTCTGGGGTCTCACCGAGTTCCTTGGAGCCCTGGCTCTCGCTGGCCAGCTCCCCCATCTTCACCAGGGCATCGAAATAGCCTTTGGCCGCGTACGTCACACCTGCGGGAGAAGAGAAGGGAGCGGTTACACCCCTCGCCAGGGACCACAGCGCGCACCAGCCCCTCCTCCGCGCCTAGACAAGCTCGAGGACGACCCCAGCTCAACTTCTGGGTGGGACGTGACCCTGTCTCCTGTCCACATTCTGGTTTCACTCTGATCCTGACGGATCCTTTCATCTATGGGAACAGCGTGTGCCGCTCGTTCCACTACCCAGTCCCCGCAGAGTGCTCCGCGTGTGCTGCCTGGGGGGGCGTGCGTTAAGTGTACTTCAGGAGACAAAGAAACAACCTCGGCAAGAAAACTGCAAAGCTGCAGGCAGGAGGCCACTTCTGCAAGATCCCTGAGCGAAACCTGACGTGAGAGGACCGTTCTTGCAGTTTCTGTGCACAGCTGGGGATGGGGCTGCTGTTCCAGGTGGGGCTGCCGCTATTCCAGACAGCAAGCCCTGCTCTAACTGGGAAATCGGTGCGAAAAGCTCAGAGCCTGCTGACCCCCATTCCCCTGCCTAGTAGCCTCTACCCGGGCAGGAGCAAGGCTGGGAGGAGCCGGTGGGCCTGTCTGGGGTAGGCCTGGCTGGGGTGGGCCTGGAAAACTCCCCCATCCCAGGGGTCCCACCTACCTAGGTGGCGCCCTTGGGAACAGGGCCGGGCGTAGCCGCCAGTGGAGAATTACAATTTCTAATCCGTTTTCTACAGAACCCAGTTAGGGGCTTATAACTGGGCACTTCATTGAATTTTATCTATATAGTTTTCAATCAAGGGCACACAATTTGTTCTGCAGCACAAGACCGCGTCCCCAGAGGACGGAAGTGATTCCACCACCTGGGAGGGGTGGGCTTCCTAAAACACGTGAAAGCGAAACAGAACAGCAGAAGCCTGGCAGCGGAGTGTGCTCCTGTGAGCAGGAGAACGGAGGAAGGAAACCTCCTGATGCTCCACATTTGGCCTCTACAACCTCCCGGCACCCGCGGGGAGCGGGAAGGCCACAGGGAAACCAGCCTCAGCGTCGGGGAGCTGGAGCCAACCCTGGGGCCCAGGCCCAGCCCTCGAGCCACCGGCAGGGGCGGCAAGGCCCAGCCCCGATGCAGGACGATCAGGGCGGACTTCCATGCTCTGCCAGGAGTAAGAGACGACGCCACAGTTCAGATTAGCAAGCATCCCGCGGCGGCCGGCGTGGGAAAGGGAAACCACGGTGGTCTGACAGGACCACGTGCAGGACCACGCCCGTCTCCACAGGGCGGGACCACCTGGCACCCTCGATTCCCACGTCGATGTGCACAAGAAAACTCAGCCCCGGCTGGGAAGAGGTGAAAGCCTGCTGGTGTTCAAAGGGCAGGGAAATGAGTCCTGCTTGGAGAATTTGAACATCGTGTGCTCCACCTGAGGACACTGGGAACACCAGGGTCGGAGACCCTCTGTGCCCACCTCCAGCCGTGTCCCCGGTCCTTGGGACACTGGCTGCAGAACCCCTGCTGTGTGCACGGCGGCACTTGGGGGCTCCCTGTCCCCTTCATGCCCACAGAAACACGATCTCACCCCAAGGGCCTGCTTGGCCAGGCCAGGGACAGAGGCACACCGTCCTCCCACCCTCCTCTCTGCCATTTCCCCCATGATTGGCACGGTCTATGCAGGGGACTGTGCTGCCCCTTGCACAGGGCCAGCCTGGCTGCAGCGGCCCCTTAAAAAGACGGACCAGGGCGCAGGAGGCCGCCTGGCAGGACTGTGCCCAGCATAGGCCCTCTCTGTGGCAGGAAGACCCTCTGTTCCCCACTGGACATGGCAGGCGGGCATGACTATGGCCGGATGGCCCCACCTGGAGTGCTGGCCAGGGACAGGCCCTCCCGCTGGGTCTCACTGAGGTGCTTTGTTCCCCAGTAACAACAGGGCCAAGCTGGTGGGAAAACAAGAGCTGAACAACTCTGGCCCCTTTTGCCACCCGGCGCCCCACCCAACAAAGCCTGATCCAAAACCAGACAATAAACACCCCTCACACGTAGGTGCCAGGACACCACGGAGCCACAGAGGACCCAGGGCGGCGGCAGAGACGGGCCATGTTGTGGGCATGCAATTTCCTCCCTGCGAGGGGGTCGGGGAGGGAGGGGTGGGCTTTGCTTATGAAGATGCCACAGTTAGAGAGACAGCCCAACACCCTGCCCGGACAACACGGTCCAGGCTGTGAGAGACCAGGGGTCAGGGCCCAGGAGTAGCAGGTCCCCAACCATGGTGTGACCCAGCCGTGAGCCAGCCAGTGCTGCCAGGATGGAGAGACCCAGACACACCCACGACCGAGGGTGGGCACCTGACACCAATGTCCCTCCCTGAGCTGGGCGGGGAGTCTCAAGACCATGAGCAAAACGGTCCGGCACCGCTGCCACCAGACCCCGGGGCCTTCCATCCTGGCTCTCTGTGAGCTACAGGGAGCTCACTGCTCAGGGGGCCGCTGCAGGCCCCAAACCCAAAGCCACTGTGGGTACCAATGGTGTCATTTAAGCCCGGACCCCACAGTTTCCAGACCCTTCTGAAGGATGGACGCCCACACTCCCCACACCCTGTTTTTGGGTACCGAGCTTATCCCACAGGCACAGGACAAGATAGGCCGTGGGAGCACTGCCACCACGGCGGTGGGGACATCCGCACTCGGCACCTGTCGGGTTTCGTTTCTGAAACAAAAGACCTGTCTCAGCTCCAGGTCACAACCCGCAGGCTGTGCCAAGGTCTGTCTGCCAAGCCGAGAATCGCGCTCGCGCCGAGAACGCCCCTGGCTGCCGCCCCGGCCGAGGGCCCAGCCCTACCTGCCAGCGCCTTCTCGTAGTTCTTCCCCATGGCGATGAAGTTCCGCAGGCTGGGGTTGAACTGCTCCATGATGGTCTGAAAGGCAGAGGAGAGGGAAGGCGTCACTGGCACAGCCACCCTGAGGACTCTGGAGGGTCCGACTGCCGAGGGGGACCTAGAGCAGGTGCCACCTGCCAGGGGTCACGACCACAAACATGGAGGTCAGCTTCCCCAGTTCAAACCCCACCTCTGCACCTGGCCGAACGCCCTCAGGCAAATCACTCTCCCAGCCTCAGTTTTCACGTCTGTACGATGCGGACCTGAAGAATAAAACCCGCTGCGTAGGGGAGCGTGCGGGTTTAACAAGGGGACGTCCACAGAGCAGCGCGAGGCACACGGGCTGCGCTCACACGCTTGCTGCGAGGCGCTGCCACCTGCAGCAGGCTGAGTCAGCCCCGAAGGCCCCCCCGCCGGCCACGCACAATCGCTCAGCAGCACCAGGCGCCCCCTCCCACTAAAACCCTCACTCAACACATCAATTACCCAACATCAGCTCTGATTAGCGCCAGCGCAGCCTGATTTGCAAACACCAGGCCATGAATAATCCAACGGGCTCCGGCTCTGTTTGCCCGACGGACTGGAGTCTCGGTGCCAATATCAGCAGTTCTTAGACTCAAGAAATTAGATTTTCACTGTGAAGGCCAAATAAATGTTTTAATTACAAGCCATAGAAACAGGCACACACAAACAGCCAAACGAGAATTCCGCCGGCATAAGGCGCGCTGCCTGTCGACAGCCAAGCCTGCAGCCAGGACCCCAGAGGGGCTGAAAGAAGCTGTCTCGGCCCCGCCAGCGTCTCCCCGCCGTGTGCTGGTGTGAGTCGGATCCTCCCTGAGGGTGAGGGGCAGGGGCGGCGGGGGCCTGTTGCAGGCACAGGGAGGCCGAGGGGCCCCACCACCCAGCCCCAACCTGCGGGCTGGGGCCCCAGCTCCCGTCCTCAGCCCACAGGACCATCTGTGGACAAGGAAGGCCCTCCCTGCTGTGGGACCTGGCTCCAGAAAACCCACTGAACACACACTCCCTCCGCCTGCCCTGAGGCAGAGACCTGGGTTCTGAGGGGACGAGGCTCCGAGTTCTGAGCCACCACCTGTCCACGGCCCTGCTCTCAGAGCCGACGTCCACGATGGGGGACAGGATAGAAGACAGGGATCCCCTAGATGGGAGGGAAGTCAGGCAGGCACTGCAGGGACAGCAGAGCCATGAGCTGGGGGGCGGGCACAGCAACAGGGCAGCCCCCAGGTCGCCTGTGCCTTCCCCAGGGCGAGGTGACACCAGGGAGGGCCTGAGCAGAGCCGTGAGTCCAGCTACCTTTAGAAGTCCCCTGGCTGCTCGGGGGGGACGAGACTTCGGCAAGGGCCCTGGCACACCCCAGGAGACCTGCCGGGAGGCTGTGGGATGCCAGCGAGGCAGGCGCCAGGCAGGCCTCTGGTCTGGGGCCAGGGACACAGCGGTAGCGCAGGCCTAACGCCGGGCCGCGGAGCCAGGTGTCTGGACGAGTTAAATCGCAGGATGGCCTGGGATGTGGGGCTGGGGGTGCCACTCAGGTGGTGGGATACAGGAGATCTCTCGTCCAAGCGAATTCCGAGTGGGAGACCAAGCCTGGGAGTTATCAGCAGAGAGGGGAGTGCTTGGGCCCCGGTGAGCTCACACGACCGTCCAGACGGGAGAGGCGGCAGGCGGGGTAGGGGACGCTGCAGGGCTGCGTGTGCCGCAACGCAACAGCAGAAGCAGGGCTGGCACCGGTGAGGGTGGGCATGCCCCGACTCTGGCGTTCTGGTGTGTGTGTACATGTCTGTGTGTGCTCATGTGTGCATGCATGTGTGTGCACACTCCTGTGCACATGTGCATGTACATTTGTGTGTGTGTGTGTGTGTGTACCAAGCTGCAGCACCAGACATGTTTCTGGCTGTGTGTGACAGACATAGGTCAGAGGACACTGCCCAGAGGGTGAGTGTGCAAGAGCAGGTCCTGTACTTCCTCATTCCTGAGAGCCGTGCTTGGCTCCAGGACCACGGCCCCTGGCAGAGGAGGAGGCTCAACCCAAGACCAGCCCTCTGAGCTCTGTTAACATCCGGACGACAGGGGAAAACAGGCCAGGAGTCAGCCAGGGCGACACCCTCTTTCGTGACACACGGACAGCCATGAGGTTCCACTTCCTCAGCACAGCAGCTGCGCTCACGTGCAGGAATGCAGGGGGAGGGGCAGGGCGGGGGTGCTGGGGCGCCAGCCAGGCCACCTGGGCACGGACACGGCCACCGTCTGCAAGACAGGCCATGGGCAGGACACAGGTGCCGCTGTCTCGGCCTGAAGTGGGGGGCAGAGGCATAAATGCCATTGCACTGACGTCAGAGGGACGGCTCCCCTTCCCTCTCGGAGGGGCTGGTTCTTCCTTCCAGCTCTCATCCAGACACCTGGCACCCTGGTCAGAAGAGTGGGCCTTCTGTAGCCCCCTGCCTTGGGTGCTGGCGGTGAATGTCACCCAACCCTCTTCTGGGTTACTCCATCTCCTGGGAACCAAAGGAGGGAGCCCAGTGGCCCATGAGAGGACCAGCCCCTCTGGTGGGGGACCCCTCTCTGCCTCCCAAGCCCCTGAATCCATCCCATCACTCTAGAGCTCATGCAGAACACTCTGAGCAGTGGGCCACGCTGACCCCAAGAGAAAATCAAAATGGGCCCAAACCAACTCTCAGAGGCCCCAGGTGGGGGGTTCCTGCCCCGCAGGACAGCCCACTGCGGAGTCCTGGTCTGGGGTCTGTCCAGACTCCCCAGGTGCCTGTGGCTGACAGGGGCTTCCCAGGATCCTGGCATCCCTGGGAGGGGCCATGGCAGCCCCCACAGCAGGCCCAGCCCCTCCAGGGAAGAACACCAACTGAGCCCTCCGGAGCACCACACTAACGTGACTTTTCCCAAGTCAGGGAACAAGCGTGTCTTTTTCAGACTCCGCCAGGAGGAGGCTGAGCTCCACACCCAGACACCCTGGGGCAGGTGCTTGGGGGCGGGGGTGCCCTGCCGACTTCAAAGAGGAGGGGGCATCTCTGCTCATCAGCACCAAAGGGCATGCGAAGTCGCAGAGGCCACGGGGAGAAACTGCACAGGACAATAACCCCCAACACTACAGAGGGGCCACCCTGGGCACAGGGTTAGGATCAGGCTGCGTGGTGCTGTCCTAGAGCCTGTGGCCACGCCCCCAGCCAGGACAGAAATCCCACCCGACCACACCTTCTTCAAACTCTAACCTGTGTTATGCAAATGAAAACTCAGCATCCTTGGAATCCTGCTGCCGCACACTGTGATCGTGGATTTATTCCTTGGGTGGCTTTTGTGGGCCAAGAACCGTATTTAGTGCCAGCCCATTCTTTCACTTACCCATTTGTTCATCTGGTATTTATCAGGGAACACCTTTCGTACCCACGGTGAGGTGCTGGGGTGCCTGCCTGTGGAGGACCCCTGGACATGCTGGGGAGACTTCCCCAACAAAGGGGTCAGGTGAGGAGGGGTCCCTGCCCAGCAGTGCTGGCGAGCTCAGGCACGGTGCCCTCCTGCAGCGACGCGCTCAGAGCTGGACGTCCCCGAGGCCGGGGAACCACGTGGAACCCAGGCCTCGACCACGGCAGAGCCCCGGCCACACACTTCTGCAGGGGTGGATGGGAGGCCACACCAGCAGCGGCACCCATGGCTGTCAGGAGGACAGCTGAGCCTCCACCTCCCCAACTTGCGGGAAGAAAGGGTGAGCGGCCAGCATCTTCACAGCAAGGAGCTTTGCCCAGGGACTGTGCTCCTGCCCACTCCCGAGGGGCGCCCGGGCACTGTCTGCCCACCCTGGACTTCTGTTCCCCTTTAGCTCTCCCGCCTGTGGCGGGCTCTCCAGCACTTTTCCGCAGGGCTGCCACAAAAAGCAAAGTCTCCCTGCTGACAGAGGAGGAAGTGACAGCCCCACTTCCCGTCCAGCCCCCCAACAGCAAAGGGAGGTGGCACGTCTGGCTGCACCCGTGCACGTGTGTGTCACGAGGGTGCACGACACTAAGAGGAACAGAGAAAGTGATGACCTGGGACTCTCCGCGGCTGCCTGGGGAGGGGCTGTCTTTAGACCTCTCATCACACAAATCCTCACCCAATCCATACATGAGCGTCACTGTCTCATTTTACAGATGGACAAAGTGACACTCAGGGTGGCAAAAGCCCACCCACTAGTGCCCGGTGGGGCCCAGAGTCCTGGCTTCAACCCCAGGCCAACCGTGCAGCCAAACTCGCCCCCTCTGCACACTGGCCCCAGTGCTGCCCTCAACAGGCTCTCTCGGAGTGGGCGGGGAGGGGCCACATTCCAGCAACACCAGGAAGAAAGGGGAGTGAGGAAGAGACATGTTCCCATCCCGTGCCCGTCCAGGAGGGCCAACAACGCCCAGGGACTGGTCGCTGGGGGAAGGGCCATGCCCGCCATGAGCACACCAGAGACACTAGCTCCAGCTGCCCTCACCTCCCGCTGTCTGCACTCCGGAGGAGAAGCAGGTGCCAGCTGTGTGGCCGGCAGCCCCAGGGGCCTCCCCAAGCCCACTGTGCGGCCACTGCCCGGGCGCAAGGGCCTGTGCATGCAGACAAGGACCCCTTGGCATCCATGGGCTGCTCCCTGTTTACCTGGTGGGACTTGCCCAGGATGCCAGGCTTCCAGGGAAGGGCACATGGGATGGGGCCGGAGCCAGAGAGGGACCCTGCAATATGGGGACAGAGTCCTCCCCGAGGACTTCTCAGACCTGTCATCCCGAGCTGTAGGCTCGGTTCCCCTGGCTGGGGCACCGGGAAGGCAGTGACATCCTGCAGGGCCACCGACACACCCCTCCCCCAGCACTGAGAGCTCCCGAACCTGGCCGAGGGCCCAGCTCATGGCGCCAGAAGAGTGAGGGCGCGGGAGCAGGAAGGACGCCTGGCTGGGGAGCGTGGAAGGTTCCGTGGCCCTCTGAAAGCTGGGACGTCTGCCCTGGGCGATCCTGCCTAAAAGAACAGAACCAACTCCAAGAGTCCAGCGAATGCTGGTTGGGCTG